TTGATGATACTCTAACACATCCACCAACCAAACCATTTACTATCACTGACTTGATGATACTCTAACACCTCAAAAACGAATAGACCCATTTGCATTTAATATTCGATTATATACTAACTTTTGTCGAATATTATGAGCTTTGAAGTTTTGTACCTTTGACTAGTAGAGACCTGAAATTCATTCGCCCAGCAGACTTGTTCCTTCGGCTAGAATATCGTTTCACTATCCGACCTGTGATATCTTGAACAATCGACCATTTTGGCAAGAACCCAAGCACTTCGGCAGTAACGTAAAATTCAACACTAAGGACGCTTCCATTACTAGATCATTAATTGTTGAGCATTAACATCATGAATTAAAACTGCTGGAGTATTGTGACAATGGGCATGCACATTATGCAAAGGGCTAGGGTAAGAGTAAGCACTATTACTTCTGACTTACATGAATCTAGAAATCTCGATGTGGTAAATTCTATATTCAGTCGTTTTAGTTTCTTTCAGTATTGTCGATATCTGTGGATTAGAACTAAAACATATTTAACAAGTATATATATTACATTTTATCGGCTTGGAAGCTTTGCGTGTATTTTACGCGCAGTATTTTCCATTCTCGTGCTTGGCTAGTTTTTTGTTAAACCATGGCCGCCTTTCGAGACGCTAGTCATCTCGTGGCAAACAGTTCTTAGCATAATAGCTTACTAAAGGCCCATTTACACAGACGATTTTTTCGGGGATTTGCAGCGCGATTTCCACTGCGATTCTTGCGACGATTCGCGTGCGATCATCAATCGCTCGTGAAAACTACCGGCGATTTTGAGGCGATTTGATAAATTGACGTCGCCGATGAATCGCCACTATTTTGAACATGTTCGAATTTAGTGCGATTTTCGGGGATTTTTTCTACCAAGAATCGCAGTAACATCGCGCCAAATCGCCGAAAACATCGCGTGTGTAAACGAGCCTAAAGAGTTCCATGATATTCTCACCGTTTTCATAACCCGCGAAGCAAGTTTCTGATACATCATAGACTGCTTGTCTAGTAAATGATCGCTAAACTTTTGCTGATTTAAAGTTAAAATAAATTTAACGGAGATGGAATCTAAAACATAGAAGGAATTTAAAATGTGAGACAAATTTATAAGAGAGTAAACTGGTTGCATGCGACATTACCAAAACCCAACGGTTGTTGATCTATAAAGTTTTACTTACTTTCGGGCATTGTCTCTACAGACACCGCACGACTAGAGGGGCCATCTCCATTCTCGTTGAACGCAAGCACTGATAAACTATAGTTTGTTAAAGGTTCTAGGTCATTAAGTTCGATAGAAGTAACACTAGGACTCGTTGTATTTACGATTTGTTTTTCATGACGTGCATTCAGTTTGATGACAGAGATTCGAAATCCTCGCAGCTGACCATGCACAAATGGCAAGGGGACTGAACGCCATGCAAGGAAAACTCTTTTTGGACCTCTACTAGAAACTTGTAGGATAGTAGGTGATAGAGAGGGGACTGCATGAAGGAAAATTTATGATTAGAATAATAAGATACAGTATAAAACAACATACTACTATTAGTGGTGTTGATTACCTGGAGGAGGACATTTCTCTACATCACAGTACTTCCATCTTATACTACTATTAGTGGTGTAGCACCAAGGTCCATGGGGTCCTTGACCTCCAGGGTTACGACACCAGTTTGACGCATTGACCAGCTCTGGATACTCAGACAGAGGATGATCGTGACGATGAGGACACTGAGATGCCCAGGACTGGCACACGTGACCAGATGTTGTTACACTCACGTTACCACGGTAACCAAGACCGTTGCCATAGTAACATTCTAAGTAAAACAAGTACAGGTAGTCACTACTATGGATGGTTTTCATGTATTAATTGGGATTTGTTCGAAAGTCAAGATATATCATACCACCATAACCCTATCGTATTTTGTACTGGATAGGATTGCAGAATTTAGGGTGAGCCATTAATTTCCCTTCATATTTCATGTCGTTATCTTTCGCGGGCACTATCGCGAAGGTTACTTACCAGCTGCTCGTAGCTTGTCAGTCTCAGCTGCAGAAAAAAATTAGATTCAGTATTTAATCTCGTTGATATGTAGCGTGCGCCAATTGTTTGCTAAGGGAACTGGTATCCGTGATTCTAGTCTGAAGTTTGTAGTCTGTCCTTCTTTTTACCTGGTGTGTGGTTCATTATGTCATTAACGACAGGTGTGGTGACTAGAACGATTATACCATACGATGGTTAAAAAAGACTCACTTACTGTTCGAAAATCTTGAATGATAGCATTCAGGCCTTTCTCCACCGTTGCTAGGCTTCATAACCATGCAGTTCATAAATTTATCTTTATCCATTAGCTCCTTCATGAGCTTTAATTCTCCTGCGCACATCTTGAAAACGTATTCACAGGATTCTTTACATATCGCTTCAGTAAGATTTGCAGTGATCGTATCACACTTTGGAAATCTCCATCGGCAATATACATCATTGAAAGTTAACAGACATGCTTTGGTGATATTGATGTTATATATCTTTTTAATCATCAAAATGCTGATTCGCACACGACGCAATTCGGCTTCATATATCTTTTGTTCGTCAGAACTTGGTTTCACTAACCAATCACCTATATTGTTTCTGCAATATCCTTGTTCCTTTGAAATATAAGGATGGCAAGCCTTGTTTATCTGTTTTGAGCTGACAGGAGATGATGCTGGAACACAGCTATTTTTGCATGTAAAGATAGAAAGGTAAACCATGTTAGTTATATAGATCACTGATATTTTATATATAGGAATCTGTTGGTGTAGCCGCATAGCACTCACCTGTCACGTGATGCGTTGAAATCTGCATCTACGAAAGCAAAAGAGAAGCTTACTTGTAAAATATGGATGATTATAAAATATAACGCGCGCTGAGTTATTCAAAAATATTTTATAAAAGCAATATAAAGGGTTAGGGTTAGGGCTAATTATGTCTCTTTATTATATGGCAAGGTAATTTCACGGGCTTTCATTGGACAATTTGAGATCCATAGCTTACGGTACAGACCACAAGCGCAATTTTTTGTGTTCCCCTTGTTATGGAAATTGTTGGTTCATAACTTACGGTACGGACCTCGCGCTCGGTTAGTAAGAGCTACGTCAATGGCGGATCCAGGGGGGGGGGGGGCAGAGGGGGCTGAAGCCCCCCTTCAGCAGAAAAAAAACCTGAACAATCAGATGCTTTTTTATTGTTTTCCGTTGTGTTGACGAAAGAAACTCAATTAGCCCCCCCCCCCCCCCTAAAATTTTGGCTGGATCCGCCCCGGTACGTCTACGCCTCGTGCTCCTAAGCTTGCTTCTCTCATGCTCTACACCTCTCAGCCTGTTTATATCACATTGCATAGAAATTAATGAGCGCAAGTTTTATATTCCTTAACTATGAAACATCCGTTAAAATAACTATAAATAAATATTTACTCGAACATTGTTGATTTAATATTTCTAATACGCATGTTCCATTGGCAGAGATTATTGATAGATTATTAATATTATGATATACTAACCTGATACTTGCAGTGCATATAAACACAAGAATATGACTAGTCTTTTCATTTCTGAGAGATAAAAGAATAGAGATGAAGATAGAGAGCAAAGCATGCATGCGTATCTAAGTCGACCATCCGCACAGAGCGATGGTACTTAATCCGTGAAATAAAAACAAAATAGTTATTAACTAATAGTCACAATTTAGTGCCTATTTAGTCGATATCACTCAAGTGAATCAGTCTATATATGAATACACAGGAGACATCAAATACACAAGAAACATGTTAGTCATTTGTTCATCAATTCTCGTCCACAGACGGAAGTACTGCTCTAAAGGTCATGACTGCATCACATCACCGCCGTGTCTTTAATCATGGCGGATTCTATGATGATCTAAACTTACTCACAGTGTCTAATGATCAACAAAGTTTCCGTCACTTGTTCCACCGTTAATAACAGAAGTCAGTTTAGTCGATTACTTTTGTGTCAGATGAATATGACATCGGTACTCGATAGCGTTTATCAGCAAGAACTACGTTTTTACTTCAATCATTTATTTATTAGTTATTATCATTATTATTTCAAACCTTTCGTCGCTACTTCCTTAACATCATGTTATCAGTCAGGTGACGTTCTAGACTATCTAATATGAAATACATATAGACAGAAGATGATGAACAGACGCTGATTCAAGCCTTACAATAGTGATCACTTTTACCTCTGTTTGTATTGATCCTTGCCAGCTATTTGATTAGATAGTTTTGTTCCTCAACTGGGCTCACTAGAGAACCGAATAGATTGCCTTCATCAGAATATTAAACTGTTTAGAGCCTGGAATAGTGAATCAATTTTCTAAATAACTTACTTCGGAATTCATTATTACCACTAATTTATGCATAAGGATATCTCAAGTACTGACGCAGAGTTTTTAAACAAGTTCCTGTTTGTAGGTAAAAAGTCAATCTTGGGGGGAGGGGTAGGGAGATAAATTTTCTTATGATTAAAAGGTATGCCTTCTTTTTTAATACGAGTTTAGTTAATCGGATTTGTTAATACAGGGTCACATCCTTTGTCTTTCGTATACCTATAACAATTCTCTCTCAGGGGAGGGGAGGGTGGTCTTTAGGAATATTTATCCATCTGTTAGCAATCCATTTGCTGCCTTCCAGTACATCGCAGCCTCCATGAAGTGAATAAACATCTAGGTTACCAAGGAGACCAGTTTTAGGGTCAAGATGGTGATTGTACCACATAATTGCAGTGCCTTTTTTAGGTTTCATAACGATGTTCGCGTTATGACAATGTAGACTAAGATTCGATGATTGGTTTAGATAGACGTTCTTGGCGCCAGCAGCAGGAAAAACAGTTTCTCCTCCACGAGTAACGTCATTAAGGTAAAATAAAATAGTAATATATCTAAAAAGAAAATTATTATTGATCAGCTTATACAGTACTATGGAAATGACCATTTTACTAGGTGATCGTAAGATATACACCTACTTCAGAAATCCTTGTCGCACCAAAAGCCCTCAATCAACAAGCCAAGACCGCAGAGAATGTCGGTACTTTTAGCTGTAATTAGTTTATTCATGGTGCATTTTCATTTATTGACTTCACAAATTGCTCATCCAAGCAAGGCTGCTTCAGATGGAGAGCTATAGCCACTTGCATGAAACATGAATAAATCAATTATAATTAAAAGTACCGACGTTCTCTGGAGCCTTGGCTTTGAGGCTCTTGGTGCGACAACGATTTTCGAAATTGGTGTATATGGACGAATCTACCCCACAGGGGAAATGTTCGCCGTCAACACTCGGTAAACAGCTAGACTGACTGTAAAAAAGAAGGTTAATGAATTAAATATCTAGTTATCAGCCGTGACTGCGGTAAGACATCATGCTAGAGCAGAAGCTACTGATCTTACCGACAAAGATGGCAGCTCTTTGGATCTACTCCTTGTTGTTTACAGCACGGTAGATTTCGACCTATTCCATCTTCTGTTGAATCATAGTGACCATGAAAATGGCCATCCACTGAATAGTGAACAATCTGTAAAACAATATATAATTTTCAGTGACGTCATAGTTACTGACGTGAGAAATTCTGAGCACAACTTTGGGACCGTTCATTTTTTATCAGGGAGGGGGAGGGGGGGCGGTGGAATTCCAGCAAGAGGCCATACAAGAAAAACTAGCCCCCCCCTCTATATTGCTGTTGACATCTGCTGGGCTTCCCCACATGTTCTATACCTGAATGGTCCCCCTTTTGACATTGATTCTTCTACATGTGGCCCCCCTCTATAAGCCGGATTTTTTTACATGCCCCCCCCCAGATTTCCACCGGCCCCCCCTCCCTGATAAAAAATGAACGGTCCCTTTGGTATTGCACCTTCTCTATGCATCGGTGCATTTGTCAAACATAGAGAGCATTCCATCGAAACTGCAAAGAAAAAAGTGATCAGGACTCGTTTCCGCAGTTGCCTCGATTGAGTTTTTTGTTTGTTCATCGCATTGAATCCCGCCAAGTTATTTTAGTCAGTAGAATGTGACGTCATCTCGTTTAATTTGACTTAAAAGTATTCTCTTTAAAGGTCAAATACGGTTAACTAATTCAACTTACCTGTAAGTCCTCACTGCCCTCTACTATGTGCTTAGGTAAATTAGTGACTTTTTCGATCTTTTCTTGTAATTCTCGGAGAATGTTGTCCAAGGACTTGCCTGACATAGTAAGCCACGTGTTGGTACTGTAACGTGGGGCATATATAGGATTTGATTTGTATTCCTCCAGACAGTTATATAGACTTTGGATAACGTTGTCTGGGGCCAAGAAAAGTTCGTCTTCTGTAATATTGCTATCTTTGTTCACATCAAACATTTTGAATATTTTCTCCGCGTCTGCTTTGCGGGGGTAAAGACCTTCTGCCTGGTTGATGAATTCCCTCATTTTCTTCACTGAACCCAAGTGATTTGCAAAGCGTCTACCAATCCGCTTATATCTTGATATTATAAGATCCATAATTGCAGGAGTTACTGGTCTAGAATACTCTGCTAAGGTCTTGCTCGTTTCCAAACCTTTTTGTACGGCAAGTTTCACGATATGATCACATTCCGTGTTAGAAAGAAAACCAGGAATTTCGAACATTAACGGTCGAAGGCTTCGCGTCACAATTTCATACTGTTTTCCTTTGAAATGAATAAACTGAATATGGCCGACTTCAAACCCTCTTCGTCGGGAAAACAAGTGGTGACAGTTTGAGCTTAATAAAGAACAAAATCTTGAAGACGTTTGTGTAATCATTGATTGATCGTTTTTGTCCTCAATATATTTTGCTGCTGGGGTAAGGACTACCATAAAAACCAAGAGAAGAATACGTTTTCCACACATTTTTATAGCTGTAATGTCCTAGACGTTACGAGCAGTCAGTGACAAGGTAGAAGTTTGATTTACAATAGCCATATGTTTCAAGTTGCTAATCTTTAAAGTAATTCTACTCTAAGACTAAAAAAAGGTCACTCACTCAATTAATGTATTGTAGATATAGCCACTAGATTAAAACAGACGTCTACTCAGAGATGACAAACGCATGCCGGCACATACAGTGATAACAGATCCAGTATAAACCAGTAGTACATTTTGTACTATACATTCTAGAGGAATTACCAGAAACAGCTCCACGTATACCTCTATCTATAGAAATTGTACTCAGTTGCGGTGTCACAGCGATATGGGTACCCCCTGGAAAAAACACCAGTTTTCAGAACCGATGACTGGAATTCTAGTTACGCTTTTTGTTCTTTGTACACTACATCGAGGTGACTTTCAGATTAATTGAAACAATTCTCCTGGAAGGATCGATCGATGTTGCTGGCTCGAGATCTAATCAAAGTGCTGTATTAAATTTCATAAATAGCCCCCTAACCGAATGTTATCAATGCTCTATTCTGTATGTTTAGTGAATATTAATATGTCAAATGAGGTTAGATAATCAGCAAAATAGAGCGCGCACAACAGAAACCCACCAACTACACACCGGCTACACAGTTTTCGCGTCTCTTTAATTTCGTGATTTTGCGGGTAATAAGCATATTCCAAGTCATTTCATAATTTTTCAAAATCGCCCAGGCATATAGGAAAAGATGCTAAAAGTCTAAACTTGAATTTTAAGAACATCAGGAATCCAGCAAACTGAGGGATAGACTGGGCGGAACGTGGGTCAACCAGATCTTGGATTGCGAAAAATTGTTTTTTCGAATTTTCAGCTTTTGAAAGAGTATGGATAATCTTAATGTATGGAAAAAACACCCCCAATTTTTAAAATCTTATTAATGCTTCCAATTTCTAAATTTTGAGAATTTTTATATTTTGGAAAATTAGGAAGCATGCATGGATGGAATGGACTGGACGTCTACTAAATGGATCGGGCGGACAGAAAAGGTACATGTACCAACTGATTAATTTTGATTGCAGACAGCAGCAAAAAAAAAAACAAAATTTAGCATGCAGCTTGTAAGCCAGTTCGCAGAATATGGAAAACCGTAGTAATAATTTGATCAGAAATAAATATTTTTTCATATATTCACTTCTCATGCTAATATTTATAGTATTAATTTTATTCCATTTTGTAGCATAAGCTAAACTTCATGTAATTCTTCCTCTACTTCTTCCTCTACCTACTGGTTTATTCTTTGGGTTGACATTCAATCCTCTTCCTCTGCCTCTTCCCGATCCTGGCTTTTTTTTTGTTTCTTCTATTTGTTTCTCGTTTTGTTGTGATTCTCTTTCTTGATCATTACTTGGAGAATAGTTCATCTGATTAACTTGAACAGGAGAGCAGTCATGTTGCAGAATTTTCTTCACTGGATCAGTCATTTTATCACCTTTAATCCTACATTTAACTCTTGCAGGAAGTTTTTCTGGAATAGTGTAAGACTTCTTTGAAAACTTTATGTACCCATTGCTAACTTCAATTCCAAAACAGACAAGAAACATTTGTGCTTCTTGTTCGTTATTAAACAAAAGTATACTAGAGAGGTCCTTGACTGGAAATTGACATTTTGGGTCACTGTATGCAGTATTCAAAACAGCTATTGATGTACTGTAGATGGATGGAAAGTGTTTCTGGACCAGACAGCTAGCCAGGAAGGGCAAGCTTCTGACCAATCTAAATAACCTCACAAAGTTACCAACTAGTTTCATCAAACTAATATTCCATGCTGCCTTAAAGTTGGGCTGGCACTTGATGTGTTGTGGTAATCTGAGAGAATGCTCCATAGCTTCATGTGAACCTAGATTATGCAATAAATAATATGCCTCAAATTCAGCTCTGTTTAGAGAGTGAGGATGTAAATCCTTGTATAGAACCAATAGCCTCTTTAAGCATTCCTGTATGTGATTATCATTAATACGTGGATCAAAATGCTCTATCGAAGTTTCACAAAGATGGAATCCTGCATATATATGAAAACGTGCAGCTTTCTCAAGAATCTCTACGGCTGATTCATCTTCTATTCTCTGGATTACCATATCCTGTCTGACTGCTCTTATACGATCAAATACATAGTGATAAACAGTAGTCCATGGTTGATCTTTCCTGTCCACTATCTCATTCAATAGATATTCCATTGTAGTTAACAAAACATGAGCAGGCCTTAGTTCAGAATGATGGATTTGCTTTCCTGCTGCTGATCTACAGAATTCTTTTATGGGGTGATTTGGATATTGATCTGAGGGCATCTCAAAAACATGTAGTCTTCCCTGTCTTTGTCTGGCGTTACGTTCTGCAGCAGGACACATACTTAAGCAGGATCCAACAATAACTTCACTGAGGCCTGTTTCCATTCTTCTGTCTTAATATATTTATAGTTTAACTGCTAAACAACACTAATGTAGTTTACACCATCCGCCATTTTGTTTCCATTTTTGCGCGAGGCACCGCTGAGCAAATTGGTTTTTTTTCTTTAAGGGAGGGGAAGCTAGGGAAGACATTTAACGATTTAGACATTTACTTCAATATCTTGCTCTTTCTGACACCCATTGGTTTCTTTATTTAATCCTCATCAGGGTTTAAATGTCAAAGAAGATGTTTTAGAGTTTAGCTAGAAATAATATCGTTATCAAATAACATTCTTAGTTTTTCCTTAGCCCTCCCCCCTTAGTAGATCTTACCGCTTGGCAACCACTCTTCAACATAAACATGGCGGACGACAGTTTGGTTGTCCTATCCTCATCTTCATCCTCTTTCTCGTAAATTATCATTATGGCCACAGTATTAAATACTACTACCTCTAAAGGGGCTGGCAATTACGTTGGGGAAACTAGAAAACAACTTAGAGACGGTAAGAGGGAAGGGAATGAAATTTTTTAATGCTAAACTTAAGACTTCTTACCATTTTCTTTTCTTTTCTTTATATTTTCTCAGGGTTTGGTGTTTATAATTATCCCAACAAATTTTTTAGGTATGAAGGAGAATGGAGCAAGGGAAAGAAACACGGTATGTGTTTTTATACTAGCAAAAAGATAAAAAAGAACAACTGGAAGAATGAATGCTTTTTATATCACTTCAGGTCATGGTAAGTTGTTAATGGCAGATGGTAGTTTTTACGAAGGCCAGTTTCAAGATGGAGAGATTCAAGGCCATGGATTTCGACGATGGGCTTCATCTAAGAATGAATATACAGGGCAGTTTGTTAGAGGAGAAATGATGGGACATGGTATCATGAAATGTGGTAATGGATCAAGATATGAAGGAGAGTGGATGAATAATCAGAAAGAAGGTACTTCGAAACCCTTATCTACTGCACCAGAGATAGCATTGATTGATATTCAAGTGCCTTGTTTGGTTTCATATTTATAGGTAAAGGAAAGTTGTATGGTAAAGATGGATCTGTTTATGAAGGTTCATTCCATAGCAATAAGAAACATGGACAAGGCAATCACACCTATAGGTATTGTATGTTAAAATTATATATGCACTGCCGTATTTGATTTTTACCTGAAACCACTTGTTTTAGCACACAACAATACCACAGGAAGACCCATCAATTAATTGCCCCATAATATTTTGTAATGCAAAATACGTTCCCCCAAAAGTCATAAGCCAATAGATGCGAAAGGTACAGTCAGGGCTCATATAGACTGTAATCTCGCAGCTTATTGAAAGAATGAACTTATTTGTTTCACTTTCTTATGTTACCTAGTAATGGAGAGGTTTATGAAGGAGACTGGGTGAATGATTTACGTCAAGGTCATGGAGTTATGAAGTATGAAGATGGAACAATTTATGCTGTAAGAGAAATTATTTTTCACTTGAATAATAATCACAGACATGCAGTAGAGGTGTAAGTGAATGTTTTATTTTCATTTTAGGGTCAGTGGTGGGGTGGTGAAGCACATGGAGAGGGTTCTATAATTCATGCATCTGGCTTGTCATTTGAAGGCCTGTGGACAGGAGGAAGACCTGCAGGTTAGCTTGTTATGATTGAATATTACTCCACATCAAACTTACATCTAATAACCAGAACTATCTATCTTTTATCAGCGGAGGCAGTTGCAATACGTGTTGTGGGGAAACCTCAGCAAGATGTTATGCAAGGAAGACCATTTGGTTTTGAAGTGGAATGTGTTTCACTGGATGGGGAGCGTGTACCAGGTAAACCAAGAACTACTATTATATAAACAAGCTAGACAAAACTTTATGTGTATTAATAGCAATATTAATGGTTGTTGTTTAGAGGATGGAAGGCTTCTTCAAGTGACTGGTTGGACAAGAATATATGGCAAGAAATCCTCAGCCAAATCATCTGATGCAGATGAAAGACTTCCCACTCCATTGTAAGTCTATGTAAAATAAACACAATCTTTTCATCTGTAGATTTATTGGTTCCCACTAATAGCAATTGATCCATCTGCTATAGATAGTAGTAACTTTTCCCTGATGGGACCATGGGACATTATCTCAATAGGTGACATTATTATATTGTTGTTAATTGTAGTGGGTTTGATGTGGAGCCTTACTATCTGACTGAGTCACTAGGGGACATGTCAGCTGATAACATGTTGTATGGAGGATTAAATGCTCCATCAAGTGTGATGTCAACCAGACCTCTCCAGACCACTTCACCCTCTGAAAGTACTCTAGATGTACAGGTAACTATGTTATTAATGTAAGTACTATGAAGACTGTGTGGTTTTCATAAAGAATTTATTTGGTTTATTTGTTAGATACCATTAGACAATGGATCAGACAATGGGGATAAAGAAGGATCAGCCACAGAAAGTCATCATGACTTATTGAATAGACAGACTGTAGGGTCTCAGGCCAGCACTACTATTAACACCAGCATTGATAAAGGAATTGGAGACATAGGTAAATATTCCCAGAATATACACATACACATATGTATCTGAGTGAAGAGTAGTAATTGTTCTGATATTTTTGTCTTATCAGAGCAACCATTACCCAGTCCTCCATCAACTGTGAGGACAACACAGGGAAGAGCAATCTTTGAGAATCTGTACCTTCCAGCACTACCTACTGGTACAAAGTCGTTTACCAGCTTACACGAAGTTGAAATTAGACCAGAGCAGTCAACAAGAAGAGCGAGCCTCATGAAGTATGTTTAATGTTATATTCATTAACCTTGTATGCATCAGAATGTTCAAACCTTTGCTACACCCTAGCTCATGAAGTATGTTTAATGTTATATTCATTGTCCTTGAATGCATCAGAATGTTCAAATCTTTGCTACACCCTAGCTTGTTACAATTGACCTTTTTACATTGGGCATAGACCACGTGTCTTTCTCTTGGAAATTAGATTTTTTGCTTGATTAATCCATTGTCATGTGTCTTAGTCTAATGTGCAACTGCTAAATAAAGAAATGATACTTTAGTGAGTGAAACTTCAATGGTGTGAAATGGAAAAACGTTATTCCCAAGATAAAGAGGTCTATTTTAATCTTTCAGTTGCTAACACTTTTTTGGTTATAGATGGAAAAAAGGAGGGTCAGTAATCAACCCGAACTTGCTATCTAACACTCCAATGATAAGTGAAGGTGGTAGCAAGAAAAAGAAAGAAGCTTTGGCAGATATTGTTGAAAAGTCTGATCCAAAATTTAAAAAATCAAAAGAAATCAAACGAGACGAGAAGAGTGCTGATGATAAGCTGTGCAAACCAGGTATGAATATGGATACAGTAGATAAAAATATGACATGCATTGTATGTGTTTCATGTGTCGTTTGTTTTCTCTTCTAGGAGATTATGTTATTGTTGTACAAGATGTAACAATACCAAAATTCCTAGATTCACGATTACAACCAGCATTTATACATATAAGATTGACTCCAAAGAAGAGAGACAAAAGTAAAATCGACGTTAGACGAAACTGGATCGAGAGACAGGAAAACCTAAGACAGGAAAAAGAACGCTCTGATGGTAACCCCGCATAGAAACACGACTTGGGTATCTTATAATATTATGTACTATTACGCAAACATTACCAAATACTAAGTTTCATGTTGGTAACTTATTCTACTTCCGCTACGACTTATTGCGGCATCAGTTGTATAGATATTTACATGACAGTTGTTCGTTTTCTGCCACGATTCCTCTCCCGGCAACAAATAAAATCATTTTATTCCAAAAACGAACGTCATCTTTGGGCGGAGGTAAAAACCGTCAACGTGTCGTCGATCTAAAATATTCACTCATATATCATCAAGGCCATGTGTGTCAAATACCCACAATCTGCAACAATAAAAGGACTATTTTATTTAACAACACACAGACCCATGTACCATGCTTGTATGTGATGAAGCAGACACCTTCGTAGGTGTAGAGATCTGTCACATCCCATCAGAATCATGATGTAGAGTAATATCCGGTTTGAACTACGTGGGTATGTTGTCATGACTACACCACTGACAAGAACAGAGAGCAGTCATCGGGTACGTTGTAGCTTCAACAAGAACAAGAAACATGTTGCCAATATCTACCAAAGTGTTGTTCCTGATAACTGTTTTAGTGTTTCACGTGGCCAACACTGAGCCAGAGTTATCGTACAGCAGCAAAACTCCTTATCACCCAGGTGATTTGAATAACGTTTCTGAACCTTCTGGCTGCACGGCCGTCCAACTAAACATGGTGCTTCGCCATGGATCGCGTTATCCGTGCACGGATTATACATTAGCTATTGTTGATTTATTAAAGAAGATAAACCAGCTACATGAGTCCAAGCCTTACAAGTACAACAACCTCACTTTACCTTGGAATCTGTCTCACGAGTATGACATAGCTGGAAACTGCGAACAGTCTGATGCTGGAAACCAAGAGATATATGAACTAGCAAAACGATTCAAGAAAAAATATCCTCGACTTTTCGTCCAGAAATATTGGAACAAATTTTATACATTTGTAACGTCTGGTACCCCGCGAACGGCGAAGAGTGCTTCGACATTTGGTTATGGTTTGTTTGAAGGGAAAGGAACTCTTGGTCTAAACAAATATCAACCCATTGGTATCATCTTCTCGGGTCTTAAAGACAAAGACAAGGTCCTAAGATACTACGACACATGTTCCAGGTACAAGCGGGAAATAAAAGATGGCAATGGACTTGAAGAGTGGCAAAAGTTTGGACTCAGTGATCCCATGAAAACAGTCATCAAGAATATCGAGGGGAGATTGCAACTAAAAGGAAAAATCGAGTTATCGGCTGAATCCGTGCAGAAGCTATTCTGGTTGTGTGCCTTTGCCACTATGAACCAGGAGAACAGAGACTGGTGCTCTGTATTCACTAAAGATGACCTTGAAGTGCTAGCATATTACGACGATATCAACCAATATTACCGTCATTCTTACGGCAATGAGATAAGCTACAGAACCAACTGCCCTCTTCTTGCTGATATCACACACTCGCTCAAAGCTTTTGTAACCCAAAACCAATCTTATCCGTATGGTATTTTCAGGTTTACTCACATCGGAACTATGACAGCCTTGCAGTCTATTCTCGGCATGTATAATGACTCTGTCCAACTAAAAGCCAACAATTTTGCAGAACAAAGAGATCGTACGTTCCGCATTTCTAGGAATGTTCCAATGTCTGCTAATATGGCATTTGTGTTGTACAAGTGTGAAAAGAAGCCAAATCACATGGTTCAATTGTTGATAAATGAAAGGCCAGCAGTTCTGCCTTGCTGTGGTAATGGTAGCTTGTGCAGCTTTCAAACTTTTCTCTCGTGTTATGAACCAATCAGTAATAACTGCGATTTTGATAAGATGTGTCAGTTCCCTACACCTACGGTGTCTGCTTCATCACCACGAGACAAACATGGTACATGGGTCTGTTTGTCGTTATTTATGGTGCTATTATTGTTTTTGTAGATCAGGACTAGGGAAAGGTTAGTATGACCAAAACTACAAAGAAAGTCAATACGCGTCACTGAGCAAGGTTAAGTTGCGGGAATAAAAACATCACGGCTTCACTACATATGCAACCGTGTAAACGCAAGGCGCAACCGAGTAGAAGATAACATGGTTTCAAATGAAACCTATAACAAGAATATCAATATTTAAGACACCATTCCTGTTTGCTCCAGACGGAAACGGCTTAAATAGAGTTATTATGGGATTCACTGTTATGTATAATTTTTTAAATGTTTTAAAAGTGTTTTTTTCTTTATTCGTCCATTACTGGCCATTCATCTAGTTTTTGTTTCTTTATGAGTCCCTCGGTAAGCTTTTCTATCCATGATGGTAACTCTCTTCGCAACGACAAACTCAACGCTTTCCGTCTCATTCTTTCATATCCTTGGAGTGAATCACTTTGAGTTTCTGTCTCACTTTCGTCACTGTCTTCGAACCCCATCATGTCTCCTTCTAGATTATTGAAGTACTCGTTTTTTGCCAAATCGGTTGGTTTGAAGACGGAAACAGTTTTTCTATATCCATTCAAGACTAGCACGGTCCCTGGGTTGATCTGACCAAACTTGTCCACACCCATGACCTCAGTACACCATTGTAGGTTTTCTGGTATCGATAACCATGCAAACCTAAAGAACAGCCTGGCATTTTGATACCTGAAACGAAAAACAACTTCGTCAGGCATTGCGTAACATGACTAGCGATTTAAATTACTATTTAACTGACCTCTTATAGCAAGATATGACGTCATTATAAGCATGCATGAGAGGAGAAGACGCTGTTTCTTCAGGTGTCACGCTATCCAACAGTAACGTGACTGTTAACTGGCCATGTGGAGCATTCTTCAATAGTTCTTTTTCTGTTGATCTGTTTAGTTGTACGTAACCTAATGCAGGTCCTTGGCTTTTTGTCTTTTGCTTGTTCGTGCTCTTTGGGTTGCGCTTGTCGAGATCGCTATCAAATACAATACATAATAGAGCTTTTAAGTGTGACGTTACTCGTATAAAAAGACGACTTCCGGGTCCAAAACGAAAAGCAGTCCTATAAAGATGTTTTCTTTGTTGTCTGAAGTTTTAATTGTTTCAGATAGACGTTAAATTGAGAACAGTTTTTGCTTTATTTTAGAGCTTCTTTTGACGAGTTGGAATACTTAACGACATATAATCTCTAATTGTGAGAAATGTACACGAGTAAAAGAGTGACAAAATTAATACAAAAAAAAAAAAAAAAACCAGTTCCATCATTGATACTTACCTTCCTTGAGGTAGGAATATACCAACAGCGCCAATGAAAAACAACGCGACAATCATGGTTATGATAGACATGTTTTCTTTCCTTAAACAGAGATAATAGCATATCTTTAAGTTGTTATGCAGTATAACATAAAACAAGAGTAATACGTACCTAGTAGCTAAACCAAGAACATATTTTGAGAAGTTCTTAACTTTATTCATGATTCTGAAAAGAGGTCCCTAAGAGAATGCAGGAAATAAAAAGATTAAGGCTGATCACATCGTTAATGACACCCCTTATTTGCAGTCAGGGACAGATCCAGGGGTGGTGACGGGAGGGGGGGGGGGGCCCTTATAAGGTGGTGGTGGTAAGGAGGGGGTTGGTGAGGAAGGGAGGGGGTGGTAACTATCCATGAGCCTTTTTATGAGGAAAAAATGTGTGATAACCGAAAACATCTGGAAAAAACTTTCACTCAGTTTACTTGAAGTTCAAAAATTATTTTAACTTTCGTCAATCTAAGACATTTTTTCACCATTTTCCTACCTTTTATGGGTTCCTTGCAGTATGACATGCAAGGTAACCCAGTACCAGTCAGGCTACTCACCGGTATTTCTTCATCATAGAATGCAGGGACTCTGCTCTTAAATCTCATTTTTCCAGAGCCAGAAATGATACTGTGAAGCATGTCCTTTAGTTGTACAGCTGGATCAATGGTAGGTTCCTTAGTTACATGCCACCCTCCTGGTAACCAGGTATAACGAATCTCATTATTGCCAGCATTCCATAGGATGGCCAGCTACAACATACCAAAATAATAGTGTATTTTTAAGCTGGGTATAGAGGTTTTTTCTTCTCGTCAATGCCAGACATTCACTATTTAAGATATTACCTTTAAGACTGTACCATTATTAGTGTTAATAGCGGCAGCACCATCTTTCATGGCTTCAACCACTAGAGTCTGAATATCCTCATACATGTACACAAAATGAACACGTTCACTTGGGAAAGGGATCTCTTTTGCTAATGTCCTAAGTTTCATCTTTTCTTCTTCATTTTTTCCTTTTTTTGTGAACAAGATGACACAAAGTCTACGGAAAAAAGGAGAATAAAACAAACAATGTAACCCCAAAGTATTGTGGCACACATATGTTCTTCTACAGTAGTACATACTGTACTACTGTGCAGTTCTTCAACTCACTTTCTTTGTGATCTGAATCTTTCTTCAGGACATAAATCCTGAAAAACGTTTTGGGAAGACAGCCTTGGAAGTATTAAATACTTGTTACTCTCCACAATCTCCCGGAGTTTTCCACTCTTTAGTTCTGACCCCTGGACAGGAAAAATTTATGTTGTTAATATATCAGTTTCGCATCTGATGCACTATGACCACCATTTTCAAAGACCATTTACACAGGTTTAGCCTCATTCATAAGTCAGCTAGTCACAGATACCATGATGATTAAAAGTCTGTGGAATTTCAAATCATTGGTATTGTTCAAGCCGCTGCAAGATATTCTTTACATTACCATTGACTTTTGCAAACAATTTGCTGTCAATTAAGCAAGGCTAAGCCTGTGCAAATGAGTCTTCAGTCATAAAATGCAGCGGTATTTGCCATTGTTTTAGATAGCTAGTTCATGATGCTTACCTCAACAACAACTTCAGGTACAGATTTTTCTTCTTTAAAGATCATCACTGATGGCTCATTTGGAAGAGCCTTGAATTTTCTTCTTAGCTTTTCACCATCAGTGTTTGAGGTACTAACAAAGCCAAAGCTTAGTCTCTTTTGATTGGCAAAGCCTACAACATGATAGAGCAATGATGGCACAGCCTTTGGACTAAATAGTAGAACCTTTGGTCTATTGTCATCAACATTCAAAAAGGAGTCAAGGTTTTTAGTGGTTACCTGAAGAATAAAGGAAAAGTAGCAGCAATGAATAACCAGAAATCACATATTAAAATGCTATAGCTCTGCTCATAAGAAACAAGAAGGACTAGTTATATATTGTGATCAACCTGCACGTAACAGAATAATGTAACAGCATGTACTCATGAAGATTACAAAAAACTGGCTAGTAACTGGAAAGTAAAACATGAAAATATCACAGTGTAGAACAGAGAAAACCTCAGGCCTCTGGGCCACATATTTTCTCAAAACCTTAGCCAGCAAGCATATATAATGTAACAGCAAGTTCTCAAGATGTGGTTGATTGACCACTTACTAACACTTTACCATAAGTACTAGTCAGCATGCACAGTAGCTGATACAAACCCTCTGAATAAGATCCAATGGAAACAGCTCAACCACAAACTCCTTTAACTCCCTAACTGATATTCTTTTTTTGAAAAAGTAAACTTGTCCATTGATGACGCCAATGATCTGTGGCACATGATCAACACCCAAATGATCTACCAATCTTGGATTTCTGTTGATATTTATAACACCAGACCCTACACCCAAGTTCTTGAGATCATTTGATGCTCTGTCCCATGTATCTTCAATCTGCATACCTAAGACAGGAAGTTAAGTGATTTTCAAAATAAGTGAGTTTCAATATACACTCACTTCATATATATACATATATATATATATATATCTTTGAAGTTGAGATAAAAACAATCTACCAACTCATGACACTCACAAGGCAAACACCAGTTTGAGATGATTTCAATGACATATGGCTTCTGATAACTGTTTGGTAAAATGTGTGACTGATACACTTGATTTGAGATAAAGTCATTTCGTGTATGGGAAGAAGGACCATCATTAAAAAAAAAGCTAAATCCACCATGTGTATCAAAGAATGGTTCTCTCCTGGTATATTGCTGTGCATTTGGACCAAAATGGCCATAATCATCATATTCTTTTCGTTTTTCTGGGTTTGATAGAATCTGTAAACCAAGTAAAATAAATCAAGAAGTTAGTATCACTATACTGTATGTATCAGTGAATGGCGTTTTTACTTATTAATAACATACAACATGCAATTACTTATTACATGTAATAAGCATATTGTCATAGTGTTGAGATGCGAATAAGAAGTACCTCATAGGCTTCATTTATTTTGATGAATTTTTCTTGAGCTTCAGGATTGTCATTCTTATCAGGATGCCTGTTGAAGTGAGATTCAGTAAAGGAATTAGTTGATACACACCTAGATTAAACAGCATGGTAAATGTTTAAAACATCTTTCATATGGTTTGCACATCCCATAATACTAAATAAGTAGCCACTGGCTATTAAGTGTTAAAAACATGGATGGCTTTTTTTCATTTTGTTAGGTATCCTATAATGCACTGCATCTAAAGTTAAGTAAATGCACTGGGATAATTGCTTTATAATGGTGAATCATATTTCTCTAAGGTAATCTATACTAGGGTGCAAACCATATACAGAGTAGGGAAATTGCTGCTTTGTTAGGTTACACTATCACTCTTCTATTTTATATGGATTTAGTTATAGAATGGCTTGTTTGGGTTGCTAACTTAATTATTTTTGGGATCTTCTACTTTACATCATGGCTCACAGCAGTGGCTTGGTTTGATGTCATGGGCAGCAGATCATACCATTTGTGTGTTGAAACATTTGATCAACAAAGTTGTATGACTTGAAAATCCCACATTATGGCCATTATTAACACATAACGCAGAACACATTAGATGACTGCGTACTATAAATACTTTTTTTAGGCTAATGTTTAAAGAAAATACATGGCCCAGAGGCCTGAGGTTTTCTCTGTCCTACACTGTGATAATTTCGTGTTTTACTTACCAGTTACGGGCCAGTTTTTTGTATGCTTTCTTTATTTGTTGTTGAGAAGAAAATCGACTTACGCCCAGGATTTCGTAAGGATCTTCTTTGGAATTTGAAGATAAACTGCTATAAACTAACCCCAAGATCAACACTACTAGAACTACAGTCGTTTTCTGACTCATTTTTCTCTTGCATGAAAATATTTTAACGCTTGAAAGAAATAAAAAATTGCGATGTTCTTGAACACGAAGGCAAAAAAAGAATGACACTCTGTGTAACTGAGCCTGCTCTGCTACCGCTGACTTAATAAACAATGTTCGGTCCGTGAAGCATGATGGGAAACATTTGTGGTATCCTTAGAGGGGAAGGGAGGGTCGAAATAACAGGCATCCCAAATTCCGTTTCTATAGATAATTTTTTGTTGGAGGGAGGGGGAGGGGGAGGGGGTGGGGGAAGGAGGGGGCGGGGAAAGGGGCAAGCATTAAGTATTATGCACACAAAAATTGTTTTTAGTTTTAATACAAGTATAACAAAAGTTTCTTGAATCAGAAATGAAAAGTCTAGTGGCCAAACGTGAATCATGGGTACTGGTGATTTGATTTTTTTTGCTTGTGGCAGTCCAAAAGGAATGGAGGGTCACTATGCAGGCTAGATTTGTTTTATTATATTTCAAGAAACATCTTTTTTATGTTTTCAGCAGGTTTTGGTCAGTTGTTTTGAGCCAATAAGAGTGCAGGTAATGTGGTGCAAAATTATTTAAGAAACAGAACTCTTTCTATGCTTTGTTTGACAATAATACAGCACACAGCAAGAGAGCTAGGCATTCATATTACTGAACAGAGCATAGTAAAAGCTGTTTTATTTCATTAAAATTGTGAAACTTGCCACCACAATGTATCGTCATAAAATATTTCTGCCACTTGTTTGAAAAAAAAAAAATCATATTAATAACAGACATTGCAAACAAAAACATTTGCCATGCAAAACTTAAAACTAGCTCAAAGCTTGCACTGTACAAGAATGTGACTGTTCAATATATTGATGGAATTTGGATGCGATAGTTTCCTTAGTTATCATCTAGGTCAGAGAAAAGAAATAGCTGTTCTACCTATATGGACATTCAATGTTGGGTTTAGTACACTAGAGTGCACGCACTAAAACCGTTAACATTAAATAGTACTAATTACGACTATTTCATACAGAATCCTTTGTTTTCTATTGTTTAATTATCACTATTTAGTGCTAAAAATTAGTATTTGTTTCACGGATTTAGTGTGAGCACTCTACTATGTAAAGCTGGTTTTGCAAGTAAACAGCACCATTCACTGATACAGCCTACTTCTCAACCAATCAAGTATGCACATAGTTAACATATGATACATACAAATGAAGACAAAACAAAAATTCCAAGACTAACAGTAAACAATTTATTGCATAAGACATTTTAGCCAACTTGATGAATATAATTTCCAGGCAAGTGTATTTATACCCATTATTTGTGGGTAGGCTTAGCAAACGTTAGGGGTGGATAATGTTGCTTCAACTACAATAAACCTAACTGTATTACACTACTTGCTGGCCATGTTCTTTGTACCACAGGCCTTCTCTTCATCCATGGCTTGTAAAACAGTTACCATAAATTCTTCGCCCTTTGCTTCTTTGTCTTTTATTTCATTAATTAAATCTTGTTCTTTAACTTGTACATCATCCTTTTGGCTTCCATCTTGACCCAACAGACTCAGAAATCCATCTTCATCTATGCCCATAAACTGAAAGTAAATATGGCATTTATCACAAATTAGCAATGTCTCAAAAGACAAAAAAATGCAGAAGTCAATTTAAACAAGTCAGTATTCATGACAGTTGCACAAAAACACTGTTACTTGATTAACCAATAATTGGGTAACAAATGTGGGTAATACTTACTTGGAAATCCTCACGTTTTACATGTGGCACATTCATGTTGTGGGTCGAAGGGCAAATATCTTCAAATTTTTTGTTGGTGAAAATGTCAATTGCTACCAAGTGTACCTAAAAAGAGAGAATATGAATGTTTAATTCCCAGGATAATACTGGCACATGAATTAAATTGAATAAAGAATAGATTTCACATGGCTTGAAAATCCTCATAGGAAAGCCATATTGTCTCATGCCAAAACATGTTGGTTGGAAAACCAGTAATATCAACTTTGTTCCAGTTTGCTTTTCTTATGCAGCAACAATTTTCACAGTCAGACCAAAGCTAAGTAAAGATATTCCAAAAAGCTTTTGAGATTAGTTTGCTAACCTTGGCGTGTCCATGCTTTCCAGTTTTTGAGGTGGACATTTCTACAATCTTGCAGGGGCGATCTTTAATTAATACATGACCACCTTTGCGTAGAGCAGAAGCTTGAGACGGGTAGTGCTTTGAAGCACCAGAGGCTCCACCTCCAAAATCTTCGCTCATGTTGAAGGCTTTAGGTACAAAAAAATAATTAATTCCATATAAAACTTACAATAGCAATGCATAACATTAATGTCAATTTTTTTGTTGGGTATGTGATACAATGAACAAGCCCTTTGGACCCATAGCTGTTAAAATTGGATATCTAACTACTGCGCACCCCTAATAATGGTTATAATATCAAATACATAATTGCAAATAAGTATGCAAAACTTTAGAAAATAGAGTTCTTCTTATTATCTCTTCATGAAATTTCAATAACTTAACTAATAAATCCTGATGATCATTAAGATATGCTGTGTCAAGTGTCTGACTTTGCAGTGATTTGTTGCAAGTTTGTGCTTTGGTTACTGACTTCATTTGCGCATCACAAAATACCACAAACATCTGTATAACTTGTACTTCATATATTAATTGGAAGAAATTGATAATTCACAACCTTCTTTCACAAATACCACAGTCAATATAACTGCTTCCTTATTTAATAAAATAGCTATGGGATATTTATCTAGGGGGATATTTATCTAGGTGATGTAATTAGCCACATTGTCTTCAAGGAAACACTACATTTAAGGGTTTAATTACTGGAACAACAGCATTACAATGAGATATCAAAAGAATAATGTAATAAATGAAAATGATCACAACCTGTTTCATTCAAAAGATATATCGACCAACAACAAAGATCAGAACACGAAGACTCAGAACACCCACAAAAAAACTAATTCTACTGGGATTGGACTGAGCAAGCATGTACAGAGTAGTATCTAGTTTCATATTTAGCAAAGATAAGACAAACTGATAGTATTGACAAATAATGGCCGAGTTTAAACAAGTTGTTAAAACATTTTTTCACGTGTACTATTGAAGGAGGTTAGAAATAAGCCGGTGTTCTAGAACAGGGGAACACGGTTAAACCACACCAAGAACAGGACGGTTGGTAGATACTAACAGCATCCTCATTCTAGCAATATCTTATAACTACAGAAAAAGGGGTAGTTAATAAACTAACTATAATCAATAAAGAAATAAAAAAGCTGGAATACGTTCTCTTAGAACTTGATCATTACGAGTGATTGTCTCTGTCTTACAAAAAAGTTATTTGTGGGTAAAAATACGAAATATTTTACTCATATAATCTACGAATAAAAAGAAGAAATAAACATGACGCTATACGGTATGTAGTTGGTATAAATGAGAATTGATTTAGATGGTTTTAGGAAGGCATAAATTGCAAGTCGAATCTCACCTTGATGTTAGGCAACGTGGTTCGTGAAAGAGGCGGCTGGGATGCTTCGCACATCCTGTAATAGGGGGGACTTTACATTCACAATTACTCGCACCCCATTCCTCCCAATCCACACTTAGGTACTATATACCGCCAGTACACTTATAACTCTAGCAATATGACCCCTATGGAAAAATTCAAATTTTTTATTTTTTGTAAATATTTTTCTTTTGTTTTCTTACAGTCACTGGAAATAGTTAAATTATTTTGCTTTGAGGTTTACATGTAATTTCTCAATAAAAATGTTTTTTATTGCCGAGTCAAATGTTTTTTCTAACTACGGTTGAAATATTTTGATCATAATTTTCCAGATATATATGTATCCCAATTTAATATCTTATTATATTTTATTACTTTTTATATGGCCCTTTTAAATTTACCATAAGGTACCTAGTGTCCAGTCCACACGGTCAAATAGAACAGATTTCGTAAAAGTTGTTGTTTTTCATTGTAACTTGTGTTTATTTAAGGCGAAAAAGAAGGAAGAGACAATAGAATAACTTTAAGAAAGCCTCGAGTATAACAATGTCATCTAGAGGACAGACTGAGACGCATAAACTTAAAAAGAATCTTGAAGATCAGCTGGACAGACTGGTTGCACAGCTTACCGACCTAGAAGAATGCAGGCAAGTGTACTAGTAAATATCTAATACAGATTCTACCACGTATCGATATCTAGATCTCAAAGTTTCGCCCCTGTGATATTTTTTGTGTCTCTATCGGAGGAAGTCATTCGATATTTTAGGCGATGTCACCTAGATAGTTCTTTAATATGCAGGGCAGATTGTTATGAAAGTTCCTTTGATTTAAATGTGTACTTGAAACTTTGGTATCTTATCACTGATAATACTTTAGTTATTTTCATTGCATTTTGTTTAAAACAGGGAAGACCTTGATGAAGATGAATACGAAGAAACAAAAAAAGAAACCCTAGAACAGATGAAAGAGTTCAAAACCTCACTCGACAAGATGCTTGCTGGTGATATGACATTAGTTGATGATCTAAACAGTATGCAACTGGTATGAATTACTTTAATGTTTACTCTCAGTAACTTAGCTTGATGAAAGTACAAGCTACAAGTCTCTCTCACCCCATATAGTCACGGCTATAGCAAGGTCAAAAATATTGGGGGTGGGGAGGTTGGCTCTCGGACTCTCAAGTCACGCCCATAGATATTAAAAGACAGATAAACGTTCATTTGCACCACACCCATTTTTGGATTATTTGCCCACAGGATTTATGATTGCAAATTAAAATGTTTGGATTCTCTTACAAATAGTGACTTACAATAAATGATGAAAATGACAACTTGGTCAACTTAGCTGGTGTGCTACAAAAGGTGTTCTGTTTCCATTTGGGTGCACTTTGAAGTAAGCTTTAACTAATTAGCTAAAGCAGTTGAAAAAATATTGGGGGGAGGGGGGGGTGCCCCCATTGTTTGTCCCTTGCTATGACCCTGATAGCGCTTGTTGTGTTTAATAGCCCCAGGTTTAATTCATATAAAATAATGTCTGGAGCAAATCAAAGTTTAAATGAATGATTTCAGTTAAATTTACTCAACAGGCAATACAAGCAGCTATAAGTGAGGCATTTAAAACTCCTGAAGTCATTAGAATGTTTGCCAAGAAGCAGCCTGGTCAGTTACGGCAAAGATTAGCAGAGGTAGTTCATTATATCCATGCATCATATGTTGCAGAAATAGGAAATGGGTGCATGTGCTGTGTACAGTCATAAAGTACATGGGGATTAGCAGAACATGGGGAAAGTGTAGGAGAAACACAACACATAGTGGACTGATTTCCAACATATTCTTGATTTTTCTTTTGATTCCCAAGTGTATTATGAATAATTATGGCACTTAGTTAGCAAGCAAGATTTTTATTTCTTTAAAAAAATATAACCAATCAGAAAGTGAGGTTGATAAGGGTTATTTCATAATGAACTTTTTCAGTATTTTTCGTTACTTACTACATGTTATGTAGTAATGCTGTGAGGGAAAAAACCATGTCTGTAAACCTAGTAAATATGTATAAATTTGCATTGGACCCACAGATGCAAAGGGATCTAAAAACAGGTCATTTAAGTCAAGCTGTATATACCCAACAAGCCGTAGAAATACTAACTGCACTGAGAAAGTTAGGAGAACAGGTAAGACATAATGTTTTGATCTTTAACATTCAATTTTGCCTTTGCTATTTCATATATAACATACTGGGCAATCCAGCTGGCTTAGTACTTTTCAGTTGTCTGTTTTGGTTTATCCTGTAGCAGTGGAATGTATTCTGATAGGCTTATCCATTCTCCTTCTTTGCCTTTTCTCTCATAAGCTTAAACCACAAGAATCTGAGTTCTTGGCTGCCAATTCCAATGCTGCTCTTAGTTCATTTGAGAAAGTATCAGAGAACATAGGTAAATATTTGCAATATTGCATTTATTCTAATGTCTTTACTTTAGAAAATTATGTCATGATGGTGTGTATTTACATTATGTGTTTTGATTGGATGATGTGTATTTTCATGTGTTTTAATTGGTTGAGAGGGGAAGCCATTGAAGTGTCATGTGATATTTTTCCATCCATGTTAACTAAGCATGTCATACCCTAGAGTATGTTATTTGGATACAACTCAAACAAAGAATCATATTCTCAAGAGAGAAAAACGTAGCCTTAGAAATGGGAAAACATAATGCCCAAGCTGAAAAGGTCTATAAAATCTGCTATATGATTGTTTTACTTATAAGCTTTTACTGATTTTTATTACTTATGTTTTTCAAAGGAGCTGGTGATAGTCTTCTTAAGATGGCTGGTTCTCAAGTGTCCGATGCTAGAAACTAGGATTAGAAAATTATGGAATCATAGTTGCTAACTTTGTTTGCTTGATAATCATCAATTTTGATATTTCTATGTATGTAATATATACAGTATGAGTGACTGTGTTGTATCTGATATACAAACTCGAGGCGTAGCTGAGAGTTTGTATATCGGATACAACACGGACACGAATACTGTAGATTGCTTATCAAACATCTAGGTTAGTTCCTTTGTGTTTCACTAAAATTTTCAAAATTAAAGTGAATCTGCCCAAGAAAATCCAAGCTAAAGTTTATGCAAATGAACACGATTCTGTATCTGATTTACAGAACTCTTCACGGTCGTGATTTCTATTGTGTTTTCCTCATGAATTATTAATGAATTTGATAATTGTACATAAAGATCTAGGGCACTACTTTTAAATATATATTTTAACCCTTTGACTTCTATGTGGGTTGGGCATCATAAGAGTGAAAGAGTTAAACATTTGCAATAAATATTGCATGTAACAAAAGAAGCGCTAGAAATGAGAAAATAATTTTGAACATATAATCAATAAGCTGCATCGTCTGTTTTGAAATGAAGACTGGTACAATTAAAAAAAAGGGAAAATTCTTTCATTTGGTTTATTTTATTAACATTTTATGAAACTTGTGTGGTGAAAGTTTAACTGCTCAGAAAATTAACCGGGGGGCCCAGGGGGGGGGGGGGGGGGGGAGCATGTGCCCCCCTACCAAATTTTTTGGGGGGGCCTGCCCCCCCCCAAAAATATTGGTTCTTAGTCATTGTTTTACGGCACATGCGTCTGCAATCAAACAAAACATTGTAATTATCACATAGCGTTAAATATAATCTTCAGTGCCCCCCCAAAGATTTTGCAGTGCCCCCCTAAAGATTTTTGCAGTGCCCCCTCAAAGATTTTTAGCTTCTGCCACCCCTGCTGCTATAAAAGTATTAGGCTGTATCTTGATACTAACCCTGCCTCCCTCCCCTCCCCTCCCCTAATGACACATTTATATAAACCAATAAACTTCTAATAGGGATATACCCTTTTCCAGTCCATTCACCTAGTATAGTAGTAGTAGTTATAGCATTTGAAAATACAGTAATTAAAGAAATGTAATATGCTATATCTACTATGGGGAATGTATTTAAAAACCAATAGATAAAAGTCAAAATTTTCTTTGAATGTATTTTTGTCTTTTTCTCTTTGAATGTGTTTTTACATTCTCATATTTTTCAAGATAAATATTAGGAAAAAACACGCGAAGTTCTGCAAGTGTAGACAGAAAACCCTCATAAAAGATGTTTGGCTGTGGGCGAGATTAATTATCATAATATATATCATTAATTTATTATGTGCGGTAGGGTGGATCACGTGATAAGTGACGTCAGACCCCATGCGCAGATAAGAAGAAGAAGGTGAAATCGAACGAGTGATCGAGTTTCGCGGCTCGAATATCGAGACTGAAATATTTACAGTTTTTTAAACTTTTAATGGTAGTTTTTTGATAATATTCGATAGACGATATGTCCCTAAGGTTCGTACTATCGATCCTTTGTATAATTGCTGTGACTTTACAGCAAGGAGAGGCAAAGAAACGCTCTAAAGGTAAGGACTTAGATATCGATGTTGTGTTTTTTACTCATCTTCACATTTGTTTGCCTTCTCTTTCCTCTGTAAAATTATAAGGGTTTTGACCATCGATTTAAGGTCCTTTTATCCTTAATGTTTTCTTCATCACCAAGGCTTATTTTTGATGAGTTAGGCATCATAAAATCTACCGATTCCATACTTGCGACATGCCGATTTTAGCTGTCGTTATGTATGTTGGTTCGTTACGCTCGAAAGACGCTTTCTAGCAAATCTATTTTGTTGTTGTTTTCCTTGGCAATTTTGTTATTTTCTGCCAGTTGCAGTCGTGTAATTGTCATGAAAGTTAAGCTATTAAGTTTTAAGAGTTTGCGCTGAAACCTAAAGTAAGCGAAAATGTAGCTGATGTGAATAAGGGTTACCCCCTTGAAAATGCTTGTCAATTCCTTAGTATATTAGTCATCGCCACTACGTTTCATCGATTATTCACCGGTTTGACTATCAAAAAGTCTTCATACGTTAGAGTTGCTTTAGAAAATTTATTTTAAGATTGGGACTTGAAGGGTTGAAACGAATTTTCGTCGCTTTTTCGCAAAAAACTGTCGACTATTGGTGGAGAAATATTGGCCACAAGTCGCGCTAAAGCAATTTGCATTCCGTGGTTCATTAATTATTGTTATTGAACTACCTCAGTACTCATTTTAGATGAATAATGTGACTATACCTCTTGTTTTTGATGTATTTTAAAGATCGAATAATGTATATAGTTGTGTTTCATTTGATATTCTAAACACCAAACATTTAGTTGCGATTTTCCAAGAAAAACAGAATATTGTTTTGTGAAGATTCGTAGTTAATTGTTTTTGACAAGCCCGCTTATTTTGTCTTTGTTTTTTTTCCGTTTGATTTTGGATTATAAATTCCTGTACTTCCCTTGCTCACAAAATACTGAAAGTTTTTCTGTGTTACGTGTTTTGTCATGATTATTGCCTTATTTTTTTATTCGGTAAATACACTTTTATCTAATTTTCATTGGAAGGAAGTACTCTAAAAGCTCATTACTTTGCGAATCACTAAAGTAGTCGCTTCCATGTAGGAAAACTGATGAAGTTTACATATATTAGGTGTGATATTTTCGATTTTTTGCTTCAAGGTTTTTATTATTGTTTTATCAAATTATTGATGTTGAGCATTGGTTCAGAAGGGCTCACTAAATATTTTGTAGTTTACTGCATATCATTTTTTATTTTTTGAGAAAGACAATATTTATGGCGCAAAAGAAATAATAACAAAAGTTAATATTCCCCTAGGGCTTCAAGATTTATATTAGTGGTTACAAACAGAATATAATCAACAATTTTCATATTAGTAACTTTGGTCCAGGCTTGTAACAGCTGATTCCAAACCATTTTAGCTACAAAAAGGGGGGGGGGAATTCTTGTGATATATTTTTGTTGTAGGTTGTGGTATAACCTTGAGACATTTATTAAGTAGTTAGTATCATGAATATGTTTCATATCTAAGATAGAAAGCATCATCACAGTTGATTGCTGTATTTTAAAGCATGCATATGGTCAATGAAATTTATAGATCCATAATTTTGGTCGTTAACACCAACCACCAGCTAGTAACAGTGGTCTCATACAGAGATGAGATTCTAATTAACTCTTTTCTTACAGACTAGACAATAATGGTAATATTAAGACAAATGCTAGACATACATCTTCATATAATATTTATTTTTATTGATCTTCACTGTGTGAAATGTTGTTTTTTTCTGAAATATTTATGATTTGCTGGTTTCCCTTCTTTAGATCAAAGCCAGCAGTTGGCTCATGTTCCTAAATTACTTTTTTGTGTTACACTAAATATAATTAAAGACAGATTTAAGGACACCTACTGTAAACCAGTAGTCATGGCAACCCAGTTTTAATGCATCTTGTTTTGTTTTGCAGAACCTTTGCAGTTTGTACAGTTGGAGTATGCAAAAGCACTAAGTGAATATCACAGAACTAATGCCACAGTATTGCATGTGCGTGCAACTGGGGGTGATGGCAAGATATCTTACACCATTGAAGAAAAGGGATCTCCATTCCATATAGATGACAAGGGACATATCTGGCTTATCAAACCCTTGAACACTGACGAAAACAAGTTGTGTCAACTAACAATCAAAGCAACTTCTTCAAAATCCAATGAGGTTGCTTATGCCAAAGTGCGCTTTGATATTATGAACATGAACAAGCACTCTCCTCAGTTTGAGGATAGTAATTACATTTGCGCTGTTACTGAAAACACAAGAAAGGCAAGTATTCTTCCTCCTATTCGTATCCGTGATGAGGATCACAGTGATGCAGGAAAGCTGAAACGCATTGAAATAGTTGAGCAAGAAATACCATTTGTGTTTAATGTGACTAAAGATGGTGCTGTGGAGGTGATGGCAACAAGAGACCTTGATGCAGAGAAGGAGACCTGGTTTGCATTTGATATCAAAGCTTGGGATGGCGGAGATCCATCCCACTCATCCCAGCCAGCTTCAGTCAAGTGTAGAGTTGTAGATGCAAATGAATTTGCTCCAGAATTCACAAGTGATTATTACTCTCATGTGGTGGAACGTGGAAGGACATATAAAAAGATCTTGCAGGTAAATTTCTAGTAATGATAGCAAAAATTAGTATAGGAAATCGCACCATCTCGAGTACAATTTGGAAATTAATAGACACGAGTAATGTTTTGAAAGTTCTTGTAATTGCACAAGCCTTTAGGCGAGTGCAATTAAAGAACTTTCAAAACATTACGAGTGTCTATTAATTCCAAATTGTACGAGAAGATCATGCGATTTTTTGTTTATAGTTCACTCAACAAAATTTCAGTAAAAAATGCGAAGCGACGCCTTTCATCTTTGTCTATTTGGCGGCCGATTTCAGTCCATCACGCAACTGAAATGCATAAAAAAGATTAGTTCTTATTAGTTTTTATGCCTTTTTATTTTTTTTGTCGCAGTTAACATTGTTTTGGCCGTGTTTCGATAGCGAATTAATTCGGTACTACTCCTACGGAGTACAATTAACGCTATAATTGTACTCCTCTCGACCAATCAGAGTCGAGTAATTTTGTTGAGTGTACTATAAGTGAGCTTATGGTTTATTTAGAAATAAATTGAAATATTGTTTCTTATTTGTGAAGTTTACCCTCATACTTTATTGCATGAAATCATTAGACATATTTGTTATCTTCAGGTAAATGCTGAGGACAAGGACATTGGGGATGAATTTGGTTCTATCTGTAAGTACATCATTAAGACACTGGATGTGCCCTTCAAGATAAGTAAAGATGGTGTGCTGAGCTTAGACAAGCCACTTGGACCTGAGGCTCCAAACTACTGTGCCTTTGAAGTTGCTGCCATTGATTGTGGCGGGAAGATGTCAACCAAAAGTGCCCATGTTAGAATTAACATTAGAGATTCCTGTGAACTTGGTAAGAAATGTCTTGATAGATTGTGTTTACATGAATTTATAGGGTTAACTCTTTAATTAATCAATTTGATTGGTTTGAATAAGAAACATGGTACTAACACAAAATATACACAAGTTGGTAAGATATGAGGTATCAATAAAGTACGTTCTAACAGCGTAAAATGAGGCAGTGGAATCCAATTTATTTGTATTCCAATAAAATAATTTCTGTTCAAGTGATAATACAGTAATAATTGTTGTTGGTATTAGTGGCCTTGCTCAAGTGGAAGCCATGTTGACTGAAACAATAGATTTTGCCACCCTTAGCCTTGCAATTCAATTGCTTGAGAATAAATTTATAGGGGTTAAACAAGGGTTTTTATTGTCATGAGAATAGACATGGCTGCAGCATAATGAAGGCCCATATTACTGCAGAACATATCAATCTGGTGTTTACTTTGTCAAACTAATTTCCATCCTGGTTGTTTGTTTGCAGGTGTTGAAGGCCCATCCATGCCAACCATCATTATTCCACAGTGCATTGGCAAAGCAAATGTAGCACCTGACATCCAGCTAAACAAATGTTCAAAGAAGATGGCTCAGGCAAATTTCTCTGCCCTCATTCAACTGGAGACAAATGCTGGTAAAGGTTGTGACCGCCAGCACTATGAAGCATCTGGTTTGTACAAGCTGTGTGGTGCTAGTGGCATCATTGACATTCTACCTAAACCTCAAAAGAACCAAGACTGGACAAAACATCTGCCAACTGAGGAAGGTAAGACACATTTTAATAGTTTTACTGTATTTGCTTTCATAATGAAAAATATTAGGGACCATTTTTGGAGGAGGGGGAGGGGAGGGGAAGTGGGATTTGTATCTCCCCCCCCCCGATAAAAAATGTTTTGTCCCTAACTCATGCAAATGTGGACAAATTTATCACTAAACGTTTTCAGATATCAAATGTTTGTTTTTCTTATCATTGATGTTATGGCTTATTTTCTAGATGATAACACCTTTGTATTTGATGGCAAGACTGTGGCTGACATACCTGATAAAGTGATCCCTGAAGACTTAGGTGAACAGTTCACAATGAGTACCTGGATAAAAACCACAGCACAAAAAGGAAAGCAAATTATTGTTGCTAAAACAGACAAGAAAACACACAACAGAATGCACTTTGCAATCCTCAAGAACAGGAACCGTCTAGTCGTAGTTCATCGTTTGGAGGCTAACCGTGGCAGCAGAGATGACTACTGCAAGTCTGATTTCCACTACAAACCAAAGATCTTTGACATGAAGTGGCATCATTTGACTGTGGTTGTCGATGGCTGTCATGTTAAGTTGTTTGTGGATGGACAAGCTGAACCATCTTTTGTCACAGATTCCAACTATCGTATGCACAACTCACATATTCCAACACGGCTGGTAGTAGGGGCACATTGGCTTGGCAAAGAGAATTCATACACCCAGTTCTTCAATGGATCTCTGTCTGGTTTGAGTATTAGACCCAAAAAGACAACATCTGAGCAAGTAAGTATACTTATCACTTGTATTATATGTGGCCAAAATATGTAATTAAGGTGAAGTTAAAAGTAGTCTTTCTTACAGCAGTGTGCAGATCGTTGTGAATCTATTCCATTTTTGTGTGCTCTATTTGTTGTGCTTTTTGTTTGAGTTTAACCTTGGATTTTTTGTTGATAAATGAACGCAAACAATAATATTTCATTTACAGACTATTCGCTGCATGTTTGGTTGTCGTGAACACATCAATATCAATACTCCCTTACCTAAAGGATTCAAGTCTGAGTTGGTTGGTGCAAACACCATGAAAGTTTATGGCAGAGGAAAACCACAAGAGTTTGAAACCATCCTGCAAAATATTGAGTATCAGAATGAGCTGTTTACACCAACACTGGGAGTGCGCAAGGTTAAGATTCTACCAATGCAAGAAAACAAGGCCTTGCAGCCAATCACAGTCACTATTCGCATTGAGAGGAACGATAAACCTGTCATCACTGTGAAGGGCTGTGCTGATAATGCTGTAGAGTTGAAGCACCTCAAGGAGATTGGGGTTCCTGTGTGTAGTACCTTGACTATTGATTACAAGGGCTGCCAACCTTCAGATTCTCCTGTCAATAATGTAAAACTCTTGGATCAGGCAGTAGTCAAAGTCACTCCTCCATTCACTAAGAGTGAGTCATTCAACTTCCCTAAGCAGCCCAATGGAGGATCGACCATTGATGATCTGGAGCTTAAGGCTTTCATGAATGAAGATGGCATCATCATTAGAGGCATTGCAAACTACAAGACATATGAAGAAGTGCTCAGAGAGATGTTTTATGTCAACCCAAATGCATCCGAGTACCTGCATCATACATTCACAGTAAGTATATTAGCTACACATGACGTCAAACCTGCAGAGTTCCAAGATCACCTCTGTGCAGTAATACCCACAGGTAGCCCAAGAGGACAGAAAAGTGCATCCTTGTTCCAAGTACCCCCTCCTTTTGTACTGAAAAGTGTTTGTATATGATATTGTAATGTTTACATATATTTTTGTTTTTGTAGATCTCTGTGTCGGATCAGAATGGTAGATTCAAGAGTGATAAAGAGAGACTGGAATTGTCCATTCTCCATAGGGCAAGGGAATTGCGACCATTTAACCTTGAAGCAATCAAAGAAACACTGAGTGCAGAAGAATTACCAGGTGCAGTGTCTGTCAAAGATAAGGCTGTATCCAAGACAAGCTCCATGTCTACTGGTATCATGGCTGTTATCATTATCTGCAGCGCATCAGTCTTTATTGTTTTGGTGATATTTGGAGTCTATCGACTTAGAAAGTGAGTATACTGTACATAGTATAAGTATAGCAAAAGTATATGGGAGTCAAAGCATTTTCAGTGAATTTTGTTTGTGTAGTAATTAATATTGATATTGATTGCAGCTGCATTAGAGCATGTACCAATGTGTGTTTGATATCCTCAGGTCAGCAAAGACACTTCAAGTAGATGCAACTGCAGCAGAGAAAGAAGAGATGTACTGGGATGACACAGGTCTGAGTGGAGTACGTATAACTGTTAACCCACTGCAGAAGTTCCAGGAACTAGACCTGAATGAAGATAAGGATTCTGAGCATGGTCAAAGTGATGATGAAGATCACCAAGAGGCTAAGCAGAGCTTGGAATGGGATGAGGGAGCCATTTAAACCCTTGGGGTTTAGGGTTAGGGTCAGATATTTGTCTGTTTGCTCAAACTTTATAATTGAGTTTTTTTTTTCCCCCCCCCCCCCCCCCCCAAAGTAACTATTCCTTTTTGTTTATTGTTCTTTGTTTTATGATTTGGCAAGTTTATGTTTAATAGTAAGAATGTTAATGTTTAGTGTATCTTGTTGCTTTTGTAAGGTGGAGTTTTCTTGATGTTAGTTTTTGTTTACTAGTCATATTTTTAGTTGTCAAGTTTCTTCTAAAGTTTGAGTAGAGCAGGGAAGTTGAGCTAAGAACAGGAGATATTTTATGCATACACTATACCATACACTTAATTAACTAAGCTTAGCAAACTAGAACATTTTGTATTTGTTCCAGGATGACAAAGTGTGTTCTATACTGTGATTTATTAGCGGGGAGGGTTGTATCATCTTGAGTTAATGCAGCCTGAATCTTAGCTGAATGTTTCCTTGGTCACAGTATGCACCAAGTGACAAGCATACTGCTTATCAACAGCTTAATATACTGTTTGAGTTGATCACATTAGCTGGGAGAGAGATGATACCCACTGTTTGTAGATCTTACAGTACTGCTACTGCCATGATCATCATTAGGTTAAGGCATTCTTTGTGTCACTGGTTATGTATAATATTTATGAGTACATAGTTGTTTTGTAGATTATTATTCTAGTATTGTTATTTTATATTTAAATTTTTTTATTAAGAGTTACATTACTTTAATCATTTTTTATTTCTATATCATATATCATTGATCATTTCTAATTACTATTGATAATGCATACTAACTAATCACATTCAGAAATACAGTTTTTAAGGTTGATGGGTGATGTTTACATGCCACTATAAGCATGCCACTTCCATTAGTGTTTTTGTCACAACGTTGCAGGTTTGCTCATAATCAGATTGAAAAACGAACTTCAAAACTAGCTTGTCTCTGAACTGACAGGCACTTGATTACTGCCTTGTTAACTTAAACACAACAATTTAATTTGGTAAAGTCAAATTGATGTCTAAATGTTAGAACACTCAAATATGAACCTATGACAACTACAGTCCACAAGACAAATTATCCATGTAGGATTCACATCATCTACTGTGAATCAAGTACCGTGTAGTTTGACCCATTCTGTTAATCATGCACATATTTAACCATCATGATGAAATAAGACTGTTTTTAGACAATTGTAGGTTTTAATACCTTTAATTAAGATAAGCAACAATGACAGTTGTATTGCTACATTGTGCACTTGATGTTATTAACTATACCTTAAAATGATAACTGAACCATTAATTGCTGGAGGTTTTGCATGGCCATGTGACAACCGCCATGTTAGATGAGCTGAGAGTAAAGTAATTTTATTTTACTTCCATATAATATGGAGGCCAGCACATGACCAGCCAATACCTTATTGTATTGTGGGATGTATCTAGCAAGCATGATTTGTGATTAAAAAGACTGTAAGGTCAACTTGTTTGTGTCTTGGTTCTTAATGTGTCAACCCCTGGGCCTGGTTGTACGAACAGTCTAAAACCTCTATATTGTGATGGTCAAGATTTGAAGGCTCTATTGCTCTTTATTTCTCAATTGACATGGTTTTCTTTGTTATTCACAAGGCTTTATTTTTGTTATAACCCTCATAAATGCGAGGTCAATATATAGTTCGTTATTAACCCAGTTAATAACTATATATAGACTTTGCATTTATAATGAGCAACATTTTGATAGAAAACCTTCTCAATTGATAAATGAAATAATTACCTTGACCGTCGGCAATAAGCCTATACATCCCTCGGGATGCATTTGGCTTATTGCCTCCATTCTTGGTAATAAAATCTTACTTCCAATTCTCTAGAAAAATAAGTACCTATTCCAATAAATATCATACCAGTATTATAAACATTAAATAAATATTCAACATAAATACCAAGACTTTGAAGAGCAGACATTGGCCGTTTCTATGTTTATATAGAGTTTTGGAAAATGGCCAGTCAAATGTACCTCCTCATGCCAGTTGGACTCTTGACTCATCACTGGCTATTGTTCAGTCATACATTTAGACTTCTGCTGTTGTATGCTTATGGAAAGCAAGGGAGGAACGTTACTAGAAACCAGTAAAATCCTTGCACCACAAGCAACCCATCCTATGATCTATGCAAACTTGCTACCTCTACATGGCCTAATTATTGTCTAGATAGTAAAGAGATGTTGCATCATTACTTAATGGCAGCCATGTTAGATGGCAGGAACAATACAATCTTTTTACAGTGAGAAAATTCAATTCCCAAAAATAAATTGATTTTATTGTTCTGCCATCTAACATGACCACCTTGCATGTGATGGTGCAAAACCTCTATCGTTTTTATATAATTCCCTCAATGAAATCTAATCTTTCTGCTCACAGAGTTTTTCATACCTTTTCTGAGGTTCCTCGATTCTTCCACCTCCCAACCATCTAAGAAAATCCTCCAAAGGGCAAAGTTCACCATTTTCAAAAAGGTTTTTTTTACAAAATTTAAGATTTGAAGTCACAGTTTCTCCATTATAAAGAACTCTGATGTAACCTCTTTGATTTTTCTTGGTTTCATTTATAACACCGGTTTTTTTCCAAAATTCAAAGATGAGCCTGGAAGCGTAAGGTATCCACCTTTGTTCAAATATCCCTAGTGACATAAGTGCAGGAATGATTGAGATTTCATGACCACCATATATAGCAAATTTAACAGGTGTCTTGGAAGAAGCTTTATCAACCATTCTAGAGGCAATCTGAGACATCACAGGCAGAGATATCATATCTGCCACTTGGCTGTAGTTGTGAGAAAAAGCCCAATCTGCATATGAAATCAGTTTGAATGCTGTTGCTTGTGGAATACATCCTCCTACAGTACATGGTGAAGGTAATCCATGACAAATATGGACTAGACAAGCATCTGCAAGACTGAAACATAAGGGATTGGTCAGAAAATAAATGAGGAGGGTGAGAAGAGAAGTTGAATCTTTGTGTCACTACATGATGAGTATAGTGTGTGATAGTAAAGTAAAGTGCAGGGTCGAAGGGAAATGAAGGACCAGTATAGAGAATGGTACAAGATCATGCAGTACTTGTGACTTACCCAATAACATTTTTAATTGATTCTCTAGGAGCCATCAATAGATTGGACATTTCCAACATTAAAGGCTCCATTGCAGCACTACCTGATTGATATTCTTTAGACTGTTTTGTTCTTTCCATTAGTTTTTCATAAGCTGGACAGGGAGATACTGTACCATCATCATTGTCCCTGAAAAACCTATCTTGAGATATACTAATGGCAATGTGACCTATAAAATGGAAGAGAATATTTCTCTCTAAGGGTATAATACAACTACTATGATGGTGACAAGGTTACATTTAGCATTCAGCAGCAAATATATATGTTGCCAAGATATGGTAGAGACTAGATAAACTAGTTGACCGTGTCTGTGTTTGTTTGCCTGTTGCCAAGGTCTTGATGAAGAACATGTCAAGATCTTGACATGATCTTGCCAGGATCTTGTCAAGAACTTGCAAGTACAAATTCAAATGGAAACAAAACAAGATCTTGCAAAAAAGATCTTGTCAAGTTCTTGTTAAGATCTTGCCATGATCTTGAACACATCAAGATCTTGGATCCCTAAGATCTTACATGATCTTGACAAGATGTTTAACCTGGGCGTCCTTTGGATTTTATTAGTCCATAGTATTAGGGACCAACCTAGCTGTCTGATGTCCAATAAACCAATGGAAAGGCCATTAGTTACTAATAATCTATAATAATATCTACCTTTTTTAATGGACTTTTCTCCCAGAAATCCATACAATAATGCAGCTGCAGATTGTAGTGTCCTGTCAGTATTTGTTGACCTTGCATATACATGATTGTTATTGATTCCATTTTCAATCAGTTTACTGTATGCTGTTTTGAAGTGCCGCCCAATATGAAAGAGTTGTTGGAAACCTTTCTTTGTCAGTTGCCCATCATATTGACAAATCTCTGATCTTGTTACTAGATTATGAGGAACAACTTTGGAAGACATTCTTCTAACAATGATGTCCTCTATGACATTAAGATAACCATCAAATAGCTTCTTGACTGTGTCATTAAGTGGTGTCATTGAACAATCCAAATCTCTTATTTCCATTCCTTGTATTTTGCTAAAAGGTGCCCTATCTCCATGTCGTAGTAATACCTGGACCATCTCTAGCTGGAAATCACCATCTCTACCAGGAATAGATCCTTCAGCGCCATTTGAATTTACTGGAAAGTTGCAGTATTTTTGCACAGATCTTCTATCAACTGGAAGTACACTGATATATATTCTCTTACTCAGATTAAAATAACCTAGAAAAAAAGAGATCCAACAATTCATAGGCTGACAACTAGAAGGGATAAAATATTTCTATAGCAATTGATATCTTTGACTTTAAGTGAGTTAACTCAATTTTCATATTGATTTGTTTGAAGACAATGATTGGGATTCCTGTGGTTTGTTTACGTGGCCACAATAGAAGTGCAGTTATGCTAAAGTAAAGAGCTATTCAATCATGTAATACGAATACAGTGTTAAAAACTTACCAAAATAAACCAATAGTATAAAGATAAAAGCTATAGCAACCAGAAGCTGCTGCTGTTTGGTTAGTGTGGCGAATCTAGCCCTAGTAATTCTAATGTAACTACAAACCATCCTACGAACACAAACTACTGTACTAGGAATCATCAGTGCTAGATTATAAAAAGCTACATTATAAATATACTAGTTTTTCAAGTTCTAAAAGTTTTGAGAGCACAATTTGAGGAGATTCAGCATCGTTTAGTCAAGTGTTTAGTCAAGTGTTTAGTCACGCTCCGTTAGGACATGAAATGCTCTTCCCAGAATGCTTTGCGAGCAAGCGTGTATTTCACCCCTTGCGCCCGCGATGACCGCAAAGCGACATCGTTTTCATACACATTGTTAGTATTTGGTGGGGGATGGGGGGGG